TTTTTTTAAAAAAAAAAAATTCCAAAGTGATACCACATAGCAGGCCGTACCAGAAGTCCAAAAGTTGAATAAAAAAATAAATTTGGGTTATTCATTTAATTATACATATGAGTTTATATTAAAAATAGGGGGTGCCATATAGTAATATATATGTATATAAAAAAAATTAAAATTGTTGGGGGGGCCGTGGCACCCGTAGGTCCCCCTTGGCTCCGTCCTTGATTACATATACTTATTATATCTAATTTTAACCATTTATAACTGAGAATTATATCTCCAAAGCATAGCTAAGACTTACTTTATTTTTTATTTCTATTTCTATGAAGATACGCCTTCAATTTTCATTCTTTCACACTTTACAATCAAAACTATTTTTCATAAATTAAATTTATAATTATTAAAATAGGTTATAGTCTCTACATCCAATTAGTCAACAATGTCAGATTGAGTTGATATGGAATCCAACTCTACGTGTTACTTAATTTTGAGTGAGAATGGACTGAGACAGATTAATTTATTTTATTTTAATTTTTTTATGGCTGAAAGTGATATCATATGAAGAAAAAAAGAGTCGTTCTTGACACATTAATCAATCACGGAGAATTGAAGAGCCTTTTTATTCTCTCGTGTTTTTGTCTTTTATTTTATTAAAGAAATATAATAGGTCAATATCCATTTAATAATTTACTAACATATTGGTCTGAATCAGATTAGCTATTCTAGATCAGCACATTTTTGGGTTTATCTCATAGTAGACTAACTCAAATTGATCTTTCTTTTACGGTTCACTAAGCTATTATCAGTGTTATATTTTTTAAAACCTTTCAAATATATCTATTTTAGCCTTATGTATTAAATATAATGAAATGTATAGATAATTTTTTCGAGAAATATTTTTAGAAGAGAAAAATTAAGATTAAGATTAACTATTTTATGAAGTAAAATTAACTTATATATAAATTAAAAAAAATGAAATTTTAGAAAAGTTAATAGAAAAAATTTCTATAAATTAACTTATACATAAATTAATTTTATTTTATAAAGAGTCTTATTTCATTTTTTCCCTCATATTTTACTTTTTAAAAATGTTTTTAACCATCGTCTATGTATATCACGTATACAAAAAAAAAAAAAAAAAAAAAGGGCGTATCAATTATTTCTATGGCATCTCTTCTGGCATATATAAAATGTCTACGATAATAAAAATGAATACTTGGTTTAAAATATTTGTGTAAATTTTATAATGTTTGTTCATGATGAATGTTTTATCACGAGTATCTTTTCTATTAACTTTCTCAACTTTTTTCTCTGAAAATAATATTTAACATTGAGTTTAGTTTGTTTAAAATTATAAGAAATAAATGATTCTAAAATTAGTGATTTTTTTTAAAAAAATATTTTTTTAAGAAGCAGATTTTTTTTTTTTTTTTTAATTTCTTTCCAATGGTAAGAGTCAAAATCATATGATTCACAAAAGAAAGTAGTAGAATTAGATAAAGAAAAGCAATTCAGACTTTAGAATTCTATAATGGCAACCTTTAAGCTGCATTTTCCAAGAAGTTTGGGACAATGTGTTCCACTTCCAAGTTGGACCACTAGTCCACTATTCATTAGCCACGCCTTGAGTGACCCTCATGCATAAGAAAATTCCAAAGTCATTCTTTTTTTCTTCTTCTCATGATTCATTGTAAAAAGTATATTCTTTTTTTATCTTTTGGTTAGGCTAACTCATTGTATTTGTCTTTGTTGGTTAAACAGACTGAAGAAGAATTACGGAAGCAGAAGGCAATTGATGATTGGCTTCCAATTACTTCTTCAAGGAATGCAAAATGGTGGTACTCTGCCTTCCACAATGTCACTGCCATGGTTGGGGCTGGTGTTCTTAGTCTCCCATATGCCATGTCTGAGCTAGGATGGTACATCCTTCAAACCCATGTTGCATTTTACCTTTTTTCTTCTATTCAAACATGTTTTGAAATAATCATGCATATATTTTCCAATTACTATAATAGAAAACTTTTGTTGAAAATCCATTTGCCATAGTCCCATCCCAACTCCTAGATCTTACTCTCTCTGAAACTATATATAAGTGATATATGTTTAAAATTTTTGAATGGATATATAAACAAATTTTAATAAAATCAACTTTATTTAATATTCTTAATTCAAAAATACTCTTAAGGTGATAAATGTAAACACTATCTATCATAAATTTGATTAAAGATATTTTAAGAAATATAATATATATTGTATATGAGATTTGCGTAAATTAAATGTATTTAATTTAACTAATTTTTTTTAATTTGTGTGAAATTAATTTATTTTGCCTATATATAATTTGAGAGTAAATATGTTTTATAATGTCTTGACAACTTGTTATGACCTCAAATAAGTAAAAAGGATAAACAACATTTTAGTGTATATACTACTTGTCTTATAATTTGAGAATTACTATGTTTTCTTCAGGGGTCCTGGTGTAACTGTATTAGTCCTGTCATGGATCATCACCTTGTACACCCTATGGCAAATGGTTGAGATGCATGAAATGGTTCCGGGGAAACGTTTTGACAGATACCATGAACTGGGTCAGTATGCCTTTGGTGAAAAGCTAGGTCTTTATATTGTGGTGCCTCAACAACTTATAGTTGAAGTTGGAGTGAACATTGTCTATATGGTGACTGGGGGAAAATCTTTGCAGAAGTTCCATAACACTGTGTGTTCCAACTGCAAAAGCATCAAGTTGACCTATTTCATTATGATTTTCGCCTCTGTTCACTTTGTACTGTCTCACCTCCCCAACTTCAACTCCATTTCTGGTGTATCTCTGGCAGCAGCAGTTATGTCCTTGAGGTACAAGTTTAATTACCCTTTTAGTTTTCTTATTATTGTAATTTTGAAAATTTGGTTCCTTTATTCTTTTGCAAATTTGATCTTCTGATATTATAATTGTGTAATTTTAGATAATTCGCTAACCTTACAGCCAATATTTAATAGAAATGTTAATGTCACATTTTACTGTACTGCTATGTTATATCCATACTAAAGTGACAATTTACAATATTGTCATGTTAACGTATCTATGTTGGATGAACTAGAATTCCACAATTGAAATTGTGGAAGATCAAATTCATGAAAGAAAAATAAGAAGACAAAATTCAAGAAATGATAATAGTAAAGGGACCAAAATTGCAATTGACTCTGTTATCTATATCCATTTTTTGTTATTCTTGTCTTTTGTCAACCCTCTTAGAGTTTTCTGATTGAATTGGAATACAAATAGAAACATGAATTTGAACATGCTAACTTCAACTTTGATGTTTACATTGTCGTACACAGTTACTCAACAATTGCCTGGGCAGCTTCTGCTCACAAGGGTGTTCAAGACAATGTAGAATATGGTTACAAAGCTAAGTCCACATCAGGAACAGTCTTTAACTTCTTTAGTGCCCTTGGGGATGTTGCTTTTGCCTATGCTGGACACAATGTGGTGCTGGAAATCCAAGCAACAATTCCATCTACACCAGAGAAACCATCCAAGGGTCCTATGTGGAGAGGAGTGGTTGTTGCTTACATAGTTGTGGCTTTGTGCTACTTCCCTGTTGCTCTGGTTGGTTACTGGATGTTTGGCAATGGTGTTAAAGATAACATTCTCATCTCTTTAGAGAAACCAAAATGGCTCATTGCAATGGCTAACATGTTTGTTGTGATCCATGTTATTGGAAGTTATCAGGTGAAATTCAGTTTCTCTTGTTCTTATCCAAAACCTTTTCATTTTAAAATCACAGTTCAAAAATGAATAAACTAAGAGTAACTCTTTTTTTTTTGTTAATGTAGATTTATGCAATGCCAGTGTTTGACATGATTGAAACTGTGTTGGTGAAGAAGCTGAACTTCACGCCTAGTAGAATACTTCGTTTTATTGTGCGTAATTTGTATGTGGGTAAGTAAACACTCCATAGTACTTATTGATACATATGTATATCGTATTTTATATATTTTTAAATATGCATATTGCTGTATCAGATACGTATATTCGATACGCATATATGTGCATCATAGGTTACAAGCAGATATATTACTTCCAATGGATTTCTTTAGTCTATTTGGTGTTTTGTTCTGATATATCATTCTCTTTGTTTTCAGCATTCACAATGTTCGTTGCTATTACCTTCCCATTTTTCGGTGGTCTTCTAGGATTCTTTGGAGGATTTGCTTTTGCACCAACAACATACTTTGTAAGCTAACTACAATAGTGAATTTTATCCAGCACAAGAATCTTTAGGGTGAAAAAAATATTCTTAACTGTTCATTCCCTTGCTTAAATTTTCAGCTACCCTGCGTCATGTGGCTTGCAATCTACAAACCAAAGAGATTCAGCTTATCTTGGTGGAGTAATTGGGTATGTTTGGTTTTGATTTTAACTGTTCTTTAGTTGATTCCATATTATGCTAGGTCTAACGATGCTCCATTAATTATAGGTGTGCATTGTGCTTGGCCTATTGTTGATGATTTTATCACCAATTGGAGGATTGAGGACAATCATAATTGAAGCCAAGACCTACAAGTTCTACTCTTGAACTCATTCCCCCATTGAATCCGTGATGAGTATGTGAAGCATGCAAATAGTACAAGATAGGAATGCAAGCTCAATAAAATCGTGTGTGATAGAATCTTGTTCATAGTCGCTGGGTGTTCTTTAATTCTACAATAATAATACATTGCTGAGGAGCATCCTCAACGTGCCTGATAATGGAAAAGAAAATCATCAATGAAATCAAAGGGAATTTTCTATATACTTTCTTGGTCAATTTTAATTTATAAATGTATATGTCGATTTTCTCTTAGCTCTCTTCAAAGTGTTTCCCATAATATTTATTTGGTCTCAGTGAAATAATTCGCATCAAAACACCTCTGATGACCTAAAACTTGACCAAAGGTAAAAACAGAAACATTAAAATAAGAAATTCTTAGCAACAACATTGTATAAATACAATTCTACATTGTACAAATTCAAATATATTTATCATGTCTGCTATGAACAGAGACGAACGAGTTCCCCAATGTTTAGGTATAGGAATTATCGTCTCCTCTTAGCTAAGATCAGAGCCAGAGGGATGTGAATCATGTCATACGATGAAATTCATACATTAGTTTAAGTTAACTAAAGATGATAACTCAATTATAAACTTAGATATGAGTACCACTTTATTTCTATAGACAAATTCTGTGAGAAGAAATTATATTTAAAAAAAAAAAAACTAAAATGGATGGTAGCTAAATAGAAAATAAGTGTACTCTAGCTGCACAAACAACATTGGTCTATGTTTACTAATTTACGCAATTCGTTCTTTAATTCCAAGGCAAGAGATGGACCCGTAGAAGACAGTGCATTATGCATATAGGTTGAATAAAATTAACCATGCAAAATTAGTCCCCTTCTTTTATTACACAAATGGCCAAAATATATTGAAATAGACTTGCTGAGTGCTGACGATACGATGTGTGGGCCTAACTTAATGACTTATTTAAAAATCGACAAAAATATACTGTATATTGTTGTTTGTTGCAATTACATTGTTGTGACAAATTTTCAATAAATTTTAACAAAATAAAAGGTACTCAATAAGTGTGTTTGAAGTTATTTTCCTAACATTTCTCTATTTCAATTTTTACTTTGTGCTTATTAGAATATATAATTAGTTAATTTTTTAAAATATACTTGGTTAGCCCGATAAACTTTGTAAATAGAGGAGCAAGGTTATTGTTCTTATCATTTTTAATTAACATAATATTTTCATAAAATCATTCTCTTAATTTGGCTTATATCTACAATCTCTATCCCTCCCATCCTATGTTACTAATAATTAGTATTCAAGTCTATTTCAAATTTTCAATAATTGTTGTTGGACATATAGGTCATTCACTTTCAAATTATTTTAACCACAATCAGGTATCTAAATATCTAATTCTACAAATTATAGATTTTCAACCTTAAGATAGAAAAGTAGGTCTGTTGAAATCCACTAAAATAATGTATAGAAGTACAAGACAAATGTGAAGTTAAACAATTTTATAATGTTAAGTTTAAGATGGTAAGAGTAACAGTAAGAATGAAACTTTAATAGTCCATGGAGCTTGAAATTGGTGGAAGACTATAAACCAAGGTCTACATGAGTTGTGGTCCTAGGTTATACTACATACATACACATGTTTTTAAAATATTGTCTGTTTTGGATCCGGTCGTCACGGTTTTACTTTTAAATATCACTCAAAAAAAATCTCTTTACCAATAAAGGCAATCGTGTGTATATAAATTCATGTTCATCATTTTGTTTAATTAATGTGAGACTTTGCTTGCGTCCCATTTGTATAAAAGCTTCCCATTTGTATAAAAGCGTATATTATGTACGAAACAAAATTTGCCGGCATTAGTTGTGCTGAATCTGTCAACACTAGGACGGACTTCTCTTGAGAGTCTTTTTCAGTAGCAGTAGCTATGATTTTTCCTCTTTCATCGAGGGAAGCTTCATATTCCAAGTTCCAAACTTATTTCCAAGTATTCCCAAAGACTGCATACTTCACAGTCACACGCAGCCATGGGAACGAGTGAAAAGCCTGGCTACGAAAAGGTTGCTTTCTCACCAGCAGAGGTAATTAAATTAAAGGCACAACACTTGTTATGTTTGTGGTGGGTTCATATCATAAAGGCCATAAGAAATGAGTGTTTGGTTTGTTACTTTTTAACAGATTGATAAAAGAACAGCGGAGCAGAAGGCGATTGATGATTGGCTTCCCATCACTTCCTCTAGGAATGCAAAATGGTGGTACGCAGCTTTTCACAACGTCACTGCCATGGTTGGAGCTGGTGTTCTCAGCCTTCCATCTGCCATGGCAAGTCTTGGATGGTATGCATCTTGTATTGCAATTTGCAAACAACTCTTTCTATTCTTTTTTTCTTTCTTCATTTCACAAATAAGTTAAATGTGAAAGTTATTTGAGTCAGCAATAGTCAGAGTACTGTAAACAGAAATTTGTCTATTGTGATGTGAGTAAAAAAAGAAAAAGTTTGGTTTCTATCGTAATATGTTTATACAGTTCAAGACATCACAACTATTCCTACAACAAAATAAGACATTTTTGGTAGCATATATATAATTACCAAGAACAAAGCTTTACAAAACTTAGATACAGGTTAGTCGGTGTTATTCTTTAATCAATTTCATATGACAAAACTTTAAAGCAGACTTTGGTAATATAAACTTATATATGTTACTGACATGAAATTTCAACTCTAATTAAAGAATAGCATTGCTAGTACTGTATTGTCCTTAAGTTTTGTACTAAAAGAAATCAAATGCAACTGAGGCAGCATATGTTTGGGATGGTTGATTGGTATGGTAAATGTGAACCTATATATATATAGAAGTGGTTGGTACCCATAAATGAATATCTATACCTTTAAGGGGGCACTTGAAAAGTTTGTTAATGTTAACTTTTGTGATGTGATGGTGCAGGGGTCCTGGTGTGGTTATTCTTGTGTTGTCATGGGTAATTACTCTGTACACACTGTGGCAAATGGTGGAGATGCATGAGATGGTTCCTGGGAAACGGTTTGACAGGTACCATGAGTTGGGGCAGCATGCCTTTGGGGAAAAGCTTGGCCTGTGGATTGTGGTGCCACAGCAACTGATATGTGAAGTTGGAGTGGACATTGTGTACATGGTCACTGGAGGAAAATCACTGCAGAAAATTCATGACCTTGTGTGCCATAAGAAAAACTGCAAAAGCATCAAGACTACTTACTTTATCATGATCTTTGGTTCTGTTCATTTTGTGCTCTCTCACCTTCCCAACTTCAATTCCATCTCTGGCATCTCCTTGGCTGCGGCAATCATGTCTCTCAGGTAATTAACAATTCCACAAAATTAGAATTTTTTACCTTTTTTTTTTCATGCACATAATTTATACGATGTTCAAAAACTGATAATTAAGAACTAATATGTATTCATGAAACATGATTATCATTAATCAAACATTATTTTAATAATTTTAATAAATATAAGAGAATTAAACTTGTAAATATCTGATTGACTCGTATCTTAAACAGACCTTATAATTATTGGATCAAGAAATTTAATTAATTAGAATTCTACTTTGAAAATATATATTAATATTTGGTAAAAATATACATCACTCTCGTTAAAACTATAATTTAAGCGAAGAAGAGCAACTGTTACACTGCATTGAAGTTTTATCCTTAAGAATTTTCTTCTTTGCCATGCCAGTTAGTCAACAAGTCAACTCATTCAACCTCCTTAATTTATGTCTTTTTCATTTCCTTTCTAATAATACTTCTACACGCGTCCTAGTTTCTGACTTTTTGTTTACACCATGTTTTATACTTTATTTTTATGAAGAGATAATAACAAAGAAACAAGAATTTAATTTAATATACTATAAGTATAGAAAAAAATTATATTGTAATTTAACCATAAACTATCTTAAATGATAAGATTACTAACTTTTGTAGTAATCACAGTCAAAATTATATCTAAAGTAACTTCTAATTTGTAAAGTGTAAACTAGCATGAAGCCTAAATTAAAAATTAAAAATTTTCTCTTATTATCGTAATTAAATAGAGATGTAGAAAAAAAATACATATAATATAAGACAATAATTAATATCGTAATTATTTGCTGTTATTGACCAAACACTATGGATCAACCACTTTAATTTATGGAGTAGATAAGCGAAAATAAATATTCCTCGAACGTATCTTTCGTCCTTTTACAATTTGAATTTTCAGTCATACATTAATTACAGTGAATGAGTCAAGGTCCACGGTTTTTAAGAGCACATTAAGATCCCCTTGAATATTCTCCCTTGTATTAATCATCTTTTTAAAACTTTTACACTCATGTTATTATGTTTAGGGTTGCGTTATGTTCTAGTCTTTTTAGATTTTAATTTTCTTTTTCTAAATGTTAAAATTTCTCTAATTAATATAGAAATTTTATTTTTTAGACTGTTTTTATTTATAAAAAAAATACTTAAACTTTGAAGAGTATTTTAAACTGTGCGTAGTCTGACCTTGACATCAAAAAAATGAGAGAGAAATAAAAATCTATACAAAATTTATTCAATACATATAGACTTTTAATATATTATAAAATGTATTAAAGTTTTTTTAAAACAAATGTTTAGAAACATTTCAAATAATTTTTTAATGCACTCCTTGACACCTTATAACGTGCTCATTGAATATAAAATGAGTTTATAAGCGTAAAATTTTCATATTTAATTAAAAGATTTTAAATATAATTTTTAAACTAATTATTATGAAACTCAATAAATATATTATATGTTATTAATTTACATGTCAATAACCATCCAGTCGGCATAGATTGATTCAATTTATATTGAATTTGTTCTCTTCAAATAAATAAGTAAAGTGGATGATAAAAAACATTATTGGAACCAGAAACTCTACTAAAGGTAATATGGTTAAAAAAAAATGACAACATATTATAATTAAATTGATAGAGTATTCAATATTATAAATTTTGTTGACTCTACCCATGAATTAAATGTGTTTTCCCTGGTGAGGAGGAATTTCCAGAACCTCATCCCATGGTGATTTTGTCTGGAAGCATATGTCTTAGAGAAGGAAATCAAGCTTTTGACCCATTAGCAAAATTCAGTTTTAATTTGATTTTCAAACTCATGACACAATTTTTAATTTTGCCCTAGATTTTGTTCCTAGCTGACTGTTTCGGGCCCTTTTTTTTAAGTTTTAAATGTAACCTTAATTTGTTTTTATAAACATGTCATTAGTATAAAGTATATAATGATGGATGACTAGTTCTATTGTCAAAAATTTAACTAATCAATTTTAGTAAAACATTTTTTTTAATTAAATTTTTCTATCTATAATACTCAAACTTGAGATTTTACTAAGAGTCTTTTTAAATACAAGCTAGTAGCACTTTTGAGAATTTTTTTACCAAAAATAAAGAATATTTTTTAATAAAGAATTTCTCAAAAAATACTTTTAAATTTATATCCAAACAAACTCTCAAAGTAATATCAATCAAGTTTAGTACAACTTGTTGATAGATGAATCTTTATTCTTAAAAAAAAAAAACAAAAAGTATTACAAAACAAGAAACATGACAGGTATTTTGTCCCACTTGATTATTTTGGTATGTGTAATTAACTAATGAATTTGAAATATACCATGTGTGCAGTTACTCAACGATTGCATGGGTGGCTTCTGTAGACAAGAGAGTTCATGAACAGAATCAGAAAGACGTTGATTATGGGTACGCAGCCAGCACTACAGCAGGAACAGTTTTCAACTTTCTGAATGCTTTAGGAGACGTTGCTTTTGCCTACGCTGGACACAACGTGGTGTTGGAGATTCAAGCAACGATCCCTTCCACCCCGGAGAAGCCCTCCAAGGGTCCCATGTGGAGGGGAGTGTTGGTAGCATATTTGGTCGTCGCACTGTGCTACTTCCCCGTTGCTCTCGTTGGCTATTGGGTCTTTGGTAACACCGTTGATGACAACATCCTCATCTCCCTCAACAAACCCACTTGGCTCATAATAACTGCTAACATGTTTGTTGTCATCCATGTCATTGGAAGCTACCAGGTCTGCAACAATTAATCATTCCAACAAAAATTCAATATGGTTTGATAGAAAAAAATTGCTATTGAGACTCTTTTTAACATTGTCTTGCTAATTAATGTTTTTCTTATAATTAGTTTAAACTTACAATTTTGATAAATCTAACTATTAAATTAGGAGAAACTCATTAAATAAGATGCGAAATTCATAAAATTTGTGATTTTTAATAAATTTTAGTTAATTATAAATAGTGTTAAAGAGATTGTTACTAGCAATTTTTCACAGTTTTATAAGAATTTTTGGTATCAATATTTAATTTGAATAGGAATTTTAGTATGTTGATCTATATTCACCTTTAATGCAATTTTTTATTACACAATGATTGAATTAATAAGGACAAAACTTATGGGTAATATTATGAGTTTGTTGATATTGTTCTCTCATCAAAATTAGAGTTTCATTTTAGTAATATATATAACCATAAAATGTTAATGCATATTACAAAATATAACTCTAATACTAATTGAAGAACAACATTATCATTACTTATGTTTTTATATTTAAGTTTCAACTAAAATAAAACTCTAAAAAATTCTAATCAATGTCCTGATTAAAGAATAAAAAGTAGAAAATAACATTTAAAAGTGTATATATTATGTAATTTTGAATTCATTTGAATAAACAACTTATTTAATGTCTTATTAAATAAATTCTTATATAATAATAGAAACTTGTGTTATAAGTGCTTAACATTCAATCATTACATTTTGATATACATATTAACAAATATTATAATTTTATAGTGTTTAGATGTATCATTAGTTAAACACCTAATGTTATCTCATTTTAAAAGTTAAAATTAAAAATTAAATTTTAATTAAAGAAAAAAATTATATATTAATTTCTTAACCAGAGCTCTTAATAGAAAAATCGAAACTCTAATACTCATTATAAAACATCACAAAGAGCATCTAAGCAAACTACACTTTTGTTGACCTATAACAAAAGTATTAATTATGACATAAATTAGTATAATAAAACTTCAATTCACATCATAAAAGTGCATTTTTGTTAATCATTTTCCTTTGCATAATTGATCACTTAATGTACAATCATTATGAAATGACTTACAATTTTTATTTGCTTCCAATTGGTGCCTATATATGCAGCTATATGCAATGCCAGTTTTTGACATGATTGAAACCGTAATGGTTAAAAAATTACGATTCAAGCCAAGCTGGGTGCTAAGATTTGTTGTTCGCAACATCTATGTTGGTGAGCAGAATCTCCCTCTTGTTCTAATCTCACTATTTTCTCCTACTTGATTTATTATTAAATGCCTCTGTGAAATCCACCCTTATTAAATTTGTCTCTCATTATTGTAACAACTTTGATTCAGCATTTACAATGTTTGTGGGCATTACGTTCCCTTTCTTCGGTTCCCTCCTCGGATTTTTTGGAGGATTTGCATTTGCTCCAACAACATACTTTGTAAGCTCCTCAAAATCCTCTTTTTTTATATATAAATGTATATCATGGTTATATATATCTAACTAAATACTTCTATATATTAATTAATTTTAACTATTAATAAGTTGGTATATAATTGAGATTAACTCCTTTTACATAATTATAATATAGATCGATTCTAGTTGTTGAAAAGTGTATTTGTTTGATTTTATTATATCACTCACTACATTTTTTTACCATAATATAATTTTGTAGCTCCCATGTATTATCTGGCTTGCTCTTTACAAACCTAGGAAGTTCAGTTTATCCTGGATCACCAACTGGGTATGTTAAAAATTCACTATGCTTGGTGCTATATTTTATTTGAAAGCTTTTGAGATTGAAACTTAGTTTACCTAATGGACTTCCCCATTTTCAGATCTGCATTATACTTGGCTTCCTACTAATGATTCTATCACCAATCGGTGGATTAAGGAGTATCATACTCAATGCCAAGACCTATGGTTTTTACTCTTAATTCAACTCATTCTCCCAAGTGCCATCGTGGACTTTCATTTTATGGATTCTATAAACATGAATGAATATAAATGTGGGATTGTCTTTGCCATTTCCTGCTATATTTTTCTGCAAAACAAGGCTGCTGCTAAATTTGTATCATAAAAATCATTCAATGGGTCCAATATTAGATTCCTGCACCTACTTTACTTTTGCATTTAATTTGTATTTCAACTGGGATCAAATATGATTGAATACAAGTTTAAAAGAGTTTTTAAAAGTATTTTTTATTCAAAAATATTTTCTATTTTTAATTAGATAAACTCTCAAAAAAAAATTTGGATCATATTTGATTGCTGCATGTGACTAGTAGCTAGGGAGTTTCCAAGCATAATTTGGACATTTGGAAATGGTTATGTCTAGCTTAATGCAATTAATTATGTTGCTCGGGAGCATGCTAGTTGAATCGAGATATAAATAATATATCAGAAAACTTATTTTTTGAATCGTGAATCGAATCATATCGTGAATTGTAAAATTCATAATCAATAAAAATATAATGTAGATATATACATACAAGACATATAAAAGCACTCTAAGAACATTTTAATATTAAGAAACAGAAAAAATGAAGTCATACATAAATATATAGTAATATATAAGCTTCAAAATACAAACAAAGATACAATTATACAAATAATAACAGTCTCAAAGCCAAAAGAAATGACTGCACAGTTCAATAACAAAGCCTCTAAAAAACCATTGTTGTTACTAAATATATGCATATACCAGGGATTGTTTGCTACTCTAATTCAGCAATATAGCCACCCAAAAAAAATATTAGTGTTGTTGCTGCATAAACTCAGCAACAAGTGGTTGTGCTACTGCCACACAAATTCAGTCATACAGCTTCAAAAAATAAATACAAAATGCTCCTATCCAAGATCATTCATCATCCCCAACCCCAAGATCTACATCACTCAAGTCATCTTCATCTTCTAATATCAAAAGTTCTTCTTCTTCTTCATTATCTTCAATTTCATCCTCATCTTCTATTATTGATTTTTCCTTACCAATCTTGGCATTCAAGTTTCTTGGACCTATGTAATCAAAAGAAAATAATAAGGTCTAGTTCTAATTCCAACTTCCAAGTTTTAAACTAACTTTTAAATATAAATAATTACCTCTCTTTCTTTTCTTCTTTGGAGCTCCCTCATCAACACCAAAGCACTCATGTACATCCATCCATGAGGCATCAATAGGCAAGCAAGGATTCTCCTTTTCGGTGATCCATTCATCATCGGATTCAATATCTGACAAACATATGGGATCATAGGTATCTCCATTCTCTTCTCTACTATTTTGCCTCATCTCAAGTTGAAGATTATATTTGACATATACAAGTACATTTAATCTTTATTGCTCCAATCAATTTCTTCTCTTAGTATGCACTTGGTCAAATGTACTCCAATTTCTCTCACATCCCGTGGCACTACATGAAAGACTCAAAATTCTCATGGCCACCTTTTTTAACTCTTTACCTCTTCCACCGTATCTCTCCCACCAAAGAGCTACAAAAAAAAAGTGTATTTAGTTTACAAATGTAGTTATTATTAATTATTATGTATTATCTTTATGATATTTATAAAGTAAAAATTAAAGGGATACCCAGTTGTTTCTTAAATCTAGTAGCTATTGCCATGTCCATTCCAAAGATCTCCTTAGCTCCCTTAAACTTTTCAAGTTGTTGATTTATTATAACTCTTGTCCTTATATTCGGAACCATTCTTTGAAAGGTTTCATATAAACCAATTAACACTTCACTATCCGGATTGAAGTTCTTGTCATAATGATACCTAACCAAATAAGAAATAACTTAGCTACTAGGCACAAAGAAAATAGTAGTTCTTAAAATGATAATTATTTTTAAATAATTTACCTAGGATTGAGATAATAGGCAGCTGCATGAAGAGGCCTATGAAGCTGCAGATTCCACCTAGTGTCAATAATCTTCCACACTTTTTTATACCTTGACTCTTGCATTTGAAAGTTTTGAGCAATTTTCTCTTTAGCCCTATCCATTGCTTCATAAATGTATGGTGAGGCTGGCTTTGAATCACCATCTACAAGCCTTAACACTTTCACAAGTGGAATCACGCACTTTAGACAATATGTAATTGATCTCCAAAATCTATCATCACTCAACACTAGGTTCATGACTTGCTTAGCCTCACTTTTACTAGCATGTGGACTAGTAGCCCATTCCTCCGATGCAAACATTGATCTAAGAGCATTCTTTTGTTGTTTAATGCAATTTAGTGTAAGATAAGAAGTTGCAAATCTTGTCACAGCTGGTCTTGCTAATTCCCCTCCATTGGAATATTGTCTATACAAATTAAGGACCCATGTATGCCTATATATGTAGGTAGTAATCTTCTTTGCATTAGCAATGGTATTATAGAATACCGGAAGCTCTCCAATGTCCTCAAGGATTAGATCAAGGAAATGGGCTGCACATGGGGACCAAAATAGTTTGGTTATCTTCTCCATTAACATTTGTCCTGCTGCCACAAGATTAGAAGCCCCATCCGTCATAACTTGGACTACATGCTCCTCCCCAATTTCTTCAACAATGTTGTCTAACAATTCAAACATTTTTTCCATCCTTTATCACATCACTTGTATCAATAGATTTCAAAAAAATAGTCTCAGTTGGACTGTTAACAAGAAAATTAGTGAGTGATCTTCCTTTCCCATCCGTCCAACCATCACACATCAAGGTGCATCCCCATTTCTCCCAATCACTTCTATATTTCTCTAAGCTTTTTTGGATGTTGTCAACAGCTTTCTTCAAAAAAGAAACCCTCACCTCATGATAAGTTGGTGGCTTCAAACCTCTCCCATATTCTCCAACAACCTTCAACATTTGAATAAAAAGAGGACTCCTTACCAAATTAAATGGTAATGCATTACCATAAATGCATTTACAAATTTATTGAATCACAAATTCCCTATCTTTACAAACTTCATTCATTGTCTTTTGTTTGAAAATTTTAGATGTTCCCTCTTTTCCTTTTATTGTCTCATTCTCTACATCCAAGCAATCCTCTTTCTTTTTATCTTTAGTTTCCAAGAGCTTCACAAATATTTCCTTCACATCATCAGGAGCACTTGGGCAAGCAATCACATTTTCCTTTGTTCTAGCAAGATAATGTTTCATCCTTGAAATACCACCCCAACAAACATGAAAACAGAACTTACATTTTACTTGAAGTCTATTTGGAGGGATACTATCACAATAGTTCCAAGGGATATCGAGCTCTCTTTTTGAATGACCCATTTTTTAATGGCCTACCAAGTGAAGATATGGGATCCGTAAGTTGTAGAGGGAATAACAAAGAAAAAAAGAGAGAACAAGTGAAGAAATGGACCACACAACAAGAAGGGAAGCCCTTACCCTTGGACCACGATGAACAGCAACCCAAACAACAACCCAAACGAAGTAGAGAACTTAGACGAAACAAATGGACCACAAAAAGTGAAACTCACTAAGTGGGTCATGTACAGGGAGTAATATCGGCTCTTTCTGTCTCACTTTCGCTTTTTTTTTTAAAAAAATCATTTTTTTAGGGTTTTCAGAACCGGATCGCGCATGACCCGACCTGATTTCGGACGCGACCCGCTTCTTCCAGAATCGTGCGATTTCTTCTTGAATTGTGATTTTCCGATTCACAACACGATACACACAATTTGAACACGATTCATCATAAAAAACGATATGACTTACGATTCGAATCGCGGAATCACGGAATCGTATCGTATCGTACGACCCGAATCACGATTCGTCATATTCTTACTACCATGCTTGGGAGAAAATATAAAAGTTCATAAGTGAGACATGTGTTGTTAAAAAATCTATTATTAGTTAAGACCAATTTATTGGACATTAAAAAGAAATATGGGAATAAAATGAAACACTGTTAATTAAGGGGGGTGTATTGGTTTAGGATTTCGTAGGATTTTAAAAGACTTTTTTTGAGTAAAAAAGTCTATTGGTATTCAATCAGGATTTTATGTCACTTAAAAACAATCCAGTGGTATTCAATATGGATTTTCAAGATTTTTTAAAGAGTCCATTGAAATCCATTGGTATTCATTTGAGATTTTTTACAACTTAAAAACAATCCATTGGTATTCAAAAATATAAGGATTTTAAAGGATTGTTGTGTGAGAGGGATTTTGAAAGACTTTCTAGTGTTATCTATAAATACCAAATTCATAAAACAATCCCATCCAAACTCATCGGATTTTGAAGGATTGTTTGAAGTGACTTTTCAAGAATTTTCAAGTGAGTTTTTCATCTTTTTTTTTTCTATGCTTTTGTTTTCTCCATTTTGTCTCTGCTAATAATATTGTACTATTGTTCATTGCTCATATATAATATTGTAATACTGTTCTCATCTCATTCCCCTATTTTGTGAAACTGTGATCTCTCTCATTCTCATAAGTTTGTTACTCTCATCCCTCTTCCTTTTATGACTCAACAATTATTTTATTTTTTTTACTATGAATTTTTCTTTTTATTTTTATATTGTGAAATTAGGACTTTTTTATATTTTAAAAAAAAAATTTAACATAAGATATTGCAGTATCTAATTTTTTAAAGTTTAGGATTTATGCCTTCATTAGCTTATTTTTTTTTATAAAAAAAAAATATTGTTAAAATATTTGTTAGAATAATTTACATTTATAAATATCGTTAAAAATATATAACTAAAATAATATATATATATATATATATATATAATCTATATCTAAATTCTTATTCTTTAAATAATAATAATAATTATAATAATTATTATTATTATACTAATATTATATATATTGCATATGTAATTAGGTAAATATTTTTTTGGTAGATTGTGAATTTCCTAATTAACGCCAATTTTTAGCTCCATTTCGAGGTGTAAGATATCATCTACAAGATTTTGCAGGTCAGGGTAATGACCCTGAAAATGAGAAAGAATTGTTCAATCTTCGTCATGCGTCTTTAAGGAATGTGATCGAGAAAATATTTGGTATTTTTAAATCAAGGTTCACAATTTTTAAGTCAGCACCTCCATTTTTATTTAAGACACAAGTAGAACTTGTGTTAGTATGTGCAACACTACATAACTTTCTACGTAAAGAATGTCGTTCTGATGAATTTTCAATTGAAGTGGTGGATGAACCTTCATCTTCAACGTTACCAGTTAATGAAGATCATACTTTTGAACCTATTATTCAAACCCAGGAGCAAGAGCGAAAAGACGCTAATGCTTGGAGGACTAGTATAGCTATGGATATGTGGGTGAATGCTATTTAAGAGGATAAGATATTATGGAGAATTATTATTATTATTATTTATCTAGACATTATTATTTTTTATTATTTTTGTCTTTGACTCTTTTTAAATTTGAATGTATGAAATTTTTTTTGAAATCTTATCAAATGTCAAAAATCCACGAAAATTCTACAAAATCCCACAGAATCCATTAAAATCCTGATTTAAAAGTCTTGCAGAATCCATTAAAATCCTGATTTTAAGTCTTGTAGAATCCTGTAAAATCTTAAAAGTCATGAAAATCCTGCAAAGTCTTTTAAAATCCGCAGGATTTTTTTTAACTAAAAAAGTCCTTTAAAATCCTAATCCAATACAACCCCCTAAGTTAAATATTGGAAAGACAACTTAATGTTATCAACGGAGTTAAACGAATCTAATAAAACAGTTAAACAGATTATCATGATGGACATTTAAAAGTATTTTTTGGACAGCGTGGAAATTTAAAAGTTAAAAAATCAAAATAAAACAAAAAGTTTTAAGAGACAACCTAAAACAAATATCAAATTAGAATTAGAATACCATAATACTAACATTGCAACAGTTAAGCTTAATATTATATTTTTTTTAGTAAAATGTTTTTAGGGTGTTACATTTGTAGCATGCTATTTTGATTTTGATTTTGGAGTATACATGGCCCAGCGTACTAAGCCCATCAAAATTAGTATTTTATTTTTATAATTTTCCTTTTTTTTGTACATTTGCATCATTTATTTAGCTTATTTACTTATTTTATATAATTTTATATTTTGAATATATTTTTTTGTTTAGCGAAAAGAGTGCCTAACTCCCTTGAATTTTAAAATCGTGAATTTTGATTTCGTTTCAAATAATTCTAAACTTTATTAATTTTATAAATAAACACTTTGATTTAATTTCATCTCAATTATTATTTAAAATGTAACCTTTATAAATAATCTCTTATATCAAATTCATATTAAACAACTAAAAGAATCAATCATTTATTTATTTTGTATTCTAGTAATTCCGTTGGATTTATTTTTATATCAACTAGTTTTTTTTTGTAAATTAAAACTTAAAAAGTTTTAAAATTAACAAATTTAAGATAATTTATATTATTTTATATTTTTATATTATTTTATATTATTTTTATTTTTATAAATTCATAACTTTATTATAGTTTAATATAAGAAAATTTCGAATTCTAAAAAAGTATTAAATAATTAATATTTAAGATAAATAATTTTATCCCTTAAAAAGATAAATAATTTACCTCTAGCTTGATATATGATCCATTTGTTTAAACTTATAAAAAATTCTAAACAAGTACCTTTTAAAAAAGTAATTCTTTAAGAAAATGATAAAAGTTACACCGCTCAATAACTTTAAATTAAATGTGAATTTTGTAAATCCAACTGTTAGATTGAAAGTTCTTTACTCTTAGATCATATATACAAAATTTTATATTAATCCAAAATGATTTGATATTTCATTCTTATAAAACAAAATTGACGTAATATATTTATTTCAAAATATACTAAAATATGAATACTTTGATTACCCTCAAGATGTTCAATTTTAACAAAATTTGATATACACATATAAAGTGATATGAATTTTCAATTTAACGGTTAAATTTACAAAATTCACATTTAATTTAAAGTTATTGAGTGGTGTAACACTTAATAAAAGTTATATCGGTGTCGTTTAAACCCTCTTCTCTCTCTCTCTCTCTCTCTCTCTCTCTCTCTATATATATATATATATATATATATATATAATATATATATATAAAGCAAAAAATTACTTATTTAAAAAAAATTTAATTAAAGTAGCTTATAATTTATAAACACTTACCTATTTTTTTTCTCTTTTCCTTTTCATCCTCATTAATTTACTTTTATCTACCTTATATATTATTAACATCATTATAAAACCCTTATCATTGAACATAATTATAATTAAGATTTCACGACCGAGCTTTTCCGCACCCTTAGCGTACTTTCTCAGGTCCTGTTACTCTCTTAATCATAGCTATATTAATAATAATAATTCTAATTCTAACGCTAATAATAATAAGGACCGTTCAAAAGGATCATTAATCAAATATATTTCCGATGCACAGGTTCCATTTTCATGGCAAGTGCAGAGCATACTCTATATCTAATAGTAAAGCAAAGTATTTTCTCACGGAAGGAAGTCTAAGACATAATCACAAGAATAGAGTTTTCAGGAAAGAAGAAGGTGTTTAGAA